TCAATTAGATTTAATCATATGTCAAAAGATTTACCTATTTATCTTTATTTGTTAAGTAGTGAAAAGTAAACTTAATTTAAATAGGATTAAGTAAATATAAATCTAATCTAAATAAGATTAGGAAAATCTAATTATTTGAAAATATGTTATATAATTTATTTATATAAAATAATCTAATAATATGTGATATATTATTTGGAAATCTAATATTTGAAAACTTTTCTGTAAGTAGTTTTATATTGTGGAGACCATAGGATCAAAAGACCAATTCTTTACTACAAATTACATCAAAAACAGAAAACAAGGTAAACAAACTAGTTGTAGCGAGTCTTTAACTACTTGCGCTTCCAACCATTAATCTCTTTCATCACAAGCTTTAGTCACGGTAAATTGAGGCAAAAGCTTACCACTGTAACTAGAGCTGAAGACAAGCACGCGACCGTAACGAAGAGCAGCTATGCCGCACCCTCAAGAGGCCCCCGAAGTCCAATGGGCGCTACCGATTCCACGTACTCCAACTCTCCATCCCACACTAAAATCTCACCAAAACAGTTGCAGATCAGAGTTAAAACGACCACAAAACCAAAGGTTGGAAGCGAATCATTTGTCCAAGAAAACTCCTCCAAACATCGCAATATTCCGTCCAATTGATCCAAAACCAATCCAGAATTGCTAATAACCTACAAACCGAGATCAAACTACATCCTCCGAAACCTCCAACAGATGATACTATACCGAGAACCCAGAAGTGAAGAAAGGCGTCCGAATAGCAAGAGATCACCACCACCGACGAGGAGATCTAACACGCAAAGGTATCTCGTGAGACCAAAGGCTAGCGCACCACCGCTTTAAATACGTCTCAACCTTCACTACGAGCCTAGATCACACCCAAACCACACCCCTAACCTCATGCACCGATCTAAATCTCAACCCATCGAAACAAAACCTCAATCAAACTACATCCTCCGAAACCTCCAACGAACACCTATAGTCACTACCATCTCCAACAAAGACATCGGATCCGCCTCTACCACCCCTCCCAAAAACGGATCAAATCAAAGAAGCTTGCGGTTTATGACCACCGACAAAGCTTGAATAACTCAACCAACCAAAGAACCCAAAGCATTGACATGCGGTTTATGACCACCGACACTGTCAAAGAACCCAACCATCAAAGAACCTAAGAAGAAAATCCCATAGAAATACTTTCCGACTAACAACTCGAAACACTCCATCACCAAAAACTCAATACGTGATCGCTCCATACACCACCACTAGCCGCCGTCCTCAAATAGCACCAAAGAGGACCCGGAGCCAGCAAACGAAAAGAAAACTGAGGAATAGACCTGACAAAGAGACTCTTTGCGATTCGGATCGAAGGACCAACATCGTCTCTTGGTTTTGCTATGCCGGGAGAGTTCACAGCCGTTCAAGGGAACCATACGGTGAATCTCCGCACAGCCTCGCCACGCCGGAGCCTTTGACCGTCGGACCAGAACACCACCCTCCGATACCGCCGACGAAGATATGGAGGCCATGAACATCAACCTAAACCCAACGAAAAGGAGATAACAACCTAAAACGAACCATGGAGGCCCTCTCACGACAGCGGCGGCAAGCGGCGGCGGTCGGAGAAGACCTCGTAGATGAACTCCGGACGAAACTTCTTTTTGCCGCCTTTGGAGAGAAATGTTGCAGGCGCGTGAGATCCCACCATGTATCGACTTTAGTTTTTCACTGTCAAATGTTAATCTCTTTTTGGGGATTGCATTTTGTATGTGGTTTATCCTACCTTGATGTTTAATATATGTGATATCCAGATGAAAAAAAAGTACTTTGTATTGACATTTTATTTTATCACTTCATGGGGTGACTTAATTTTATCTTCCGTTTTTTGTGTTTGATTTATTTATGCAGGTTATAAATTATTTAAAGAGTAAAAATAGTTGAAATAAAAATATAGAAATAAATTTATTATGATCGTGACATGTTTCAAGTCAGTCGACCAGATTTTGAGACGTGAATACAAATGTAAAAGATTTTTTTTTCAATTAGATATAGTTACATGTCAAAATATTTATCTATTTATCTTTATTTGTAAAATAGTGAAAATAAACCTAATTTAAATAGGATTAGAAAAATTTAATTATTTAGAAATATAAAATAATTTATTTATTTAAAAATATGTAATTAAATGTTATGTTTCTCAATTAGTAGATTTAGAACAACGTTATTAATTTTATTTTATTTACTTTAACGGGTGATCTAATTTGTTTTGTACAATTAGATATTTTATTTTTATACAAATTTATAAATAATCAAATCATAGAATCTGCATATAAGCGGGTCTTTAATCTAATTTATTATAAAACGGATAAAGTATATTACCCATTATTAAAAGAGAAATTACATGTAATAGCCATAAAAAAAATATAATAAAATCCATAATCATTTAATCTAAATCTAAAGGTTAATATGTGTCTTATACACTAATTTTCT